ACATTTCATAAACTTCCTTTTAAAACTATTTTTTTTAAGGGCCACCCCTAAATATCTGCATACACCACAACATTCAGTGAAAATTGTGTTTTTATATCAGAGCAAAATTTTACGATCAAAATTGCTTATCTTGGTCAATTTTGCCAATTTTCTCGTAGAGAGAACGCACTGTAGTCTTTGAAATGAATTAGATATATGCAGTAGTGTTGTTGAAGGCCACATATGTCGCTATATCAATATTGGATCCAACACGGACAGACAGTGATGGGTTCAAGCTTGGTGGTCTCCAATTCCCTACACCTACCCTACATATGTCAAGAAAAAAATGGCTATGAAAGAATTTATTTTTCAACAAATCGGTGAGACGTGGTTTTACGGCACACATTATTATTCAATTAATAGGCTTTATTTAGACCAGCATTGCTCCAACGTCAGTGAATGTGGATAAAGCAGTTGACATCTATACTAGACAGATGCATGATTTTCAAAAGAAATTACCTGGTGGATTCTATGTCACAATTTCCAAGAATGTTCAAACCGTGGCATCCATGAAGAAGTCAATGTTGGGGTACGAAAGTCTATGAAAAGTTGATCTACTCCAGAGTAATAGGACTGCAGGCAAGTTCAAGAGAGGTCAATGTCAAGGACATTTTTCATAAGAGCTTTCACCAGTCCCAACAGCACTTGTTGATGATTCTGGAAACGAGCACTCCCATGTCAAAGACGGACTTATAGAATTTGACAAAAGTTGAGATGTCAGCCAGGCATGAGACACTGGAACAACCTTGTACAGTCATTGATGGTTGTGCTCTGCTGTGGATGAAAATCTGATGATGTTTGCTTGGTGTTTGACAGATCCGAGAGTATTTAGAGGTCATAACGGGTCGAGAGTCTTCCAACTGAGTCCCGCGTCACTGCTGCCCTCCAAGAAACTATCTCTTACTGTTCGTCGTCGTCGTCGTTGTCATATAGATCATGGCTCACCCTTGTGACCCGTTTGATGAGACCTTTTGATCGGCATCTGTCTCCTGCAATCCGCTAGAGTGTCTTTAGTATTTAGAGGGTGGCTAGTGATTTCCCTAAGGTCGTCAGTCCATCTGAGCTTGAGTCTTCCTTTGTTACGTGTTTCTTCAAAGGTACCTTGAATGATAATTTGTCAAGGTTGTCTCCTGATCTTCTGCTAACGTGACCAAACTATTGTAGCTTGTACTTGTCAATCCTGGTAGCAAGTGGCGGTTGATCTCCGATGATGGACATTAATTGTGTACATTGGTGTTGTAATCTCTTCATGATATCCCAAGTAGCTTCCTCCAACACCACATTTCAAAGGCAGATTGCCGAGCTTCCACCCTCCTTGACAATCATTGACCCAAGAACATTATATAAACTTGTCCACTTGATCAACTTCTTCTCCATCAACCACCATGCTCTGTTGCATGTAGTTAATTTCCACCAATCATGATCTTGGTCTTTTTCACATTGAGGTAGGGTCCAAATTATTCACTTGCATCCTTCACTCTTTTTTAAGGAGTTTTAGTAGTTCTTCTGATGTTCTTGTTATAAGTGTTGTCAGTGGCATACTGAGCAAAAACACTTAGAGGGGCAGAAAAACAATCTGCATCACCATCACTCATACATGTTACATTTTTACATTTTTTAAAGCGGGGTGGGGGGGGGGGGGTTGAAGTATTTACGATCAGGAAGAGAGGAGCGCAAATTGGCGTGGTGTTCAAGGGGCACAGCCCCCGGAAGCTCAAGGGTTTCAGGCATTTATTAACTGTAAGATGAACATATTTTGATACCTCATTTCACCTCGGGTCACTTTCTTTCTTTCTTTCTAGTTCTCTTTAACATACTTTATACAAAAAGTGAGGGGGCTCGAGTCCCCTGAGCCCCGCTGTTCTTCGGACCCTGACATGTAGGCTTTTAAATAAGCATATTTTTTGCTTGACTGTGGATTTACTAAAAAGTGAGAAAAAACCCAGGAAAATCATGTCATTTCAGCAACATTTGTAAATCACCGGTATCGAATATATAAAAAAAAACAGTTTGAATTTTGTTTGGGGGTTCAATTGTCCCCCCCCCCCCCCCCCATACCCTTCCCCATAAATACGCCAGAGAGTGTTGTGTTGTCGGCGTATCTTAGGTTGGTGATCGTTCGTCCACCAACAGAAACTTGACCATAAAATGCCTTTCTCATGATGAATTCAGCATAGATGTTGAAAATTTATGGTGATAGGTTGCAGCCTTGACGGACAACTTGACCAATAGTGAACCTTTCGGTGTCGCCATTCTCTGCTCTTACTGTTGCTTCTTGGTATTGGTAGAGCGACTGGATGAGTTGAATTATATGTGCTGGAAAGCCCATCTAGCTCATAATCTTCCATAGGCGTTTATGTTGTACGCAGTCAAAAGCTTTGGAAAGATCAATAAAGCTAGGGAGAGAAGTTGTTGAAACGTGTCTCTAGTGTTGCTAACTTCACTATCTTTTCATAAAAACAAACTACAGTTGATCGACATCATAATTATATGCACGAGTCTGCAGGATGATTGGGTGCTCAGAAATAGGCAAAAGCACAAGCAGGCCTTTACCGTCAAGATGAGGTTCTTGTTGAAGTGATTCCAGGCAGTGATGTCATGCCAAGGAAAGGTCTGTCCACAACATAGTTATGATGAAGCAGGCAACATCAAAGAACAGCAAGCGATTGGAATTGATGCTAATGAGAAGATGTATGTTAGGGTCCTAGTGGATGACACAGACGTCTACGTACTACTTTTGCATCATTATCTACATGACGGATTTATAAAACGCCAATTACCATGGAGACGCCCCTTCACAAATCGAACTGTTATTGATGTTCCTGCCAATGTAGACAAGTTAGGAGATATCATTCCATCGATGTTGGCAGGACATGCGTTGACGGGATGCGACACTCTTGGGGCATACTTTGGCATTGGATAGGGTACAATGCTGAAAGTGATGAAGCAGAAGATTCGACTCCCTTAGGACTGAGTTGGCAATGTTGATGCAGCATGGTCATATGTCATCACTCAACCTACTCAATGCTTTGCTTAATGTTATGGACAGTCAACAACCAACTGAATGTCAGAGGCTCGTATCAACGTGTGGCTATCAAGGGTCCGAAGACTAGGAGCTCCAAATACCCCCAAACCTTGCCTCACTACCTCAAACTACTGAAGCGTTTGTAGAAAATGTTAAGAGAACTCATTTGCAAACATATGCGTGTGGAAGCACGCATTACAGTCACGACCTTACTTTGCAGAATTAAGTGTGAAATGACACCCTGTGTGCAGCACAATGTGCAGCACAATATTTACTCACTGTATTCAGTGCATCTGACTCATGACATATGATAATCTCATGTTAGAAATTGGTATTTGGCCATCATTTTGACCTATGCAAGTTAATGTGTCTATAGAGGGCGCCATTCCGAATTATGCAAATTTGCATATCATTTGTAATCATACAGCATTGCAATTTTTATTTAGTGATGATTCTAGAAAAAAATCAAGATATTTGACTGCCATTTAATGTAGTAAAATGCTGTTAAAACTTTTTATATCATTAATTTTGGTTAAAAAGGGGATTTTGGCGGCCATTTTGTATGACGTCACATATCTCAAATTGCTCAATGCTGACAGAGTGTCAGCAATCGAATTCTTCAAATTGATGGTCTAAGGAACTATAATCCGAAGAAAAAAAAACTATAGACCCTAAAACAAGGTATATCGAGATGGCTGCCGGACTAACTGAACGAGTTGGGATAAAACACTCTTTCATAAAATATATACTGTTCATAGATTTTTTTTTTTTTTTATAGTTAGCAATTTTCTAGGTGTAAACTTTTTATTTACTTACACGGTATTGTCGACGGTGATGAGGGACATAGTTTCTTTATGTGGTGTGTGTGTATTGGGTTTTTACAGACGTGTATCAATCATACATCATTAGGGACTTTTAGATTCGCACGAAGACAATAGGTCTATGCTACGATCGACGTCCTTTTAATGCATTGCCTTGAATCAGGGAGGTGAAAGAAAAGGAGGCGAAACTCTTGTAATTTATTCAAACGCATTCTTGAGTTCTAAAGCGTAACAATGGGATGTGTAACATTCCACTTGGCTTTGAAGTTCCATGCTCCGAACCGCGCTTCCACTGCGGGGAATTTCGGAAGCCAGGCACCAGTTTTAAATTTATTACAAAATATTAAATTACCGGCAAAATTTCAGTGTAAATCAAAAACTTTATATGGGGATTTTATTGGGAATAGTGCATCAAACAAATTTTCAAATTTAGAACTCCGTCCTTACTTTAATTTGTGTGCCAGAGTTGGTAAAAGAAAAATTACATCCTGTCAAAAACTCAATATTTTAGGATGATGCGCTAATTTGTGCATGCTTTAATGTCCCGTTATTTGATCCATGATTTACAATCTTCAATAACATTAAGTTTGCTAATGCGTGTTTTCGCGTGTTTTTTGTATTTTTCAAGTTTAAAAAAGGATGAAAGTACACAAGTTTGTGTTCGCTTGTTCTACTCTTTACACATTCAACAATGGATGAGAAATCATTGGAAGGGACAGCGAACAGTTGCAGTGATACCATTTTCTGATGTAGGAATTCTAAATCCTGAAATTTCATGCGCTCTTTTATCTCACCACCTGGTCAACAGTTGCAGATTAGCGCATAACTTTTCGGCGGCTTGGAGCATGGGGTCAAAGGAGAGCGGCTTGATTCCTGTCCTTCTCTATCACGTCCCTGCTTGAATGGACGTCACACGTATCAGTCCACGCAAATCTACAAGTCCCTATTATTTACGTCTGGGGACGGACCTTTAAACGTCACCATCCGAAAGACGCGTCTCGTACCTGCGTCCTCGAATAAATCAGTTTGTAACTTCCATTATAAGCAGTGGATTACAGGCGCACGCCACAACGCTTTTAATGTCTCCACTCCATGTCTTATGTATTCTTTACTAGATCCACACGGGTCTCCAACACGGCGTGATCAGACATGCCCAGCCGAACTGTCTGCCCATGGATGAAGTCACGCTCCCACAGAAACTCAAGGAAAATGGATACACCACCAACATGGTCGGTAAATGGCATATCGGCTTCTACTTGGATGCTTGCACGCCCACCGAAAGGGGCTTCGATTCTTTCTTTGGTAAGGGCTTATTTTAATGAGTAATCACAATAAATATACTACTAATACTCACTATAAACAGTCATGATGGACAAAGAAAGGGGACAAAATATACAGTTCCTCATCTTACCCTTAACATTTGCTGTGGTAGACAAAGGAACATCCCTTCACTGCTATTATGTAAAATAAGTAGAACAGGTGAATATGCATGTGACACCTGTTCTACACATTTTTACATAATAGCAACGAAGGGATGTTTCTTTGTCCATCACAGCAACTGCTGAGGGTAGAATGAGGAGCTGTATATTTTGTCCTCTTTCTTTGTCCGTCATGTTTATAGTGACTCCTACTAACTAAAATGATGATAACAACAAAAATGCACATGTATTGATAATGATAATACTACTGATAATTTATCCCCAAAACATATAACAGTAATTATATTAATGATAGGCTATAATATTTATTATAATAAAACCAATAATGAGGATAGTAATAATCTTAGAAAAAATAGCTATGAATGTTATTAGTATTATTATTATTATTATTATTACTACTATTATAGTATTGATTATTATTGTGATAAAAATAACATAGTTAATAATAACAATAGCAACATGAGAACATTAATGATTAAAATAATAATAATTATGTTAACAATACTTACAATAATAATACAACAAACAATAATAGTAATACTATAATTAAATTATAATAATAACACTAAAAATTATTGCAATGGTATAATGATAAGTAACAGCTATGTTCAAACGTGCTTTAGCAGCAACCTGTATAGACAGACCACCTGTCTATAAAGACCACATTTTCTGTTTCCATCGAAAGTAATTAATTATATAAGCATAAATTATGCTACAGGAACCTGTACGTAAAGACCACCTGCCTATGAAAACCACGTTTCCTGCCCCCTTTGCTCGATTTACAGGGACCCATTTCACAAAGTATTTTTCCAATGACAAATGACACAAATCAGTGACAAATAGAAATATGTTAGTAACCAATCAGAAGCAAGGATTTCAGTAGCTTATAACAAAAACTGTCATTTGTCACTGATGACAAGTTTTGTGAAATGTCCCCCTCCCCCCCCCCCCCCCCCCCCCCCCAAGGTTTCACTGTCTTATCACTGAGGCGCGATAGCTCAGTCGGTAGAGCAGTGGTCTCGTAATGACCCGGGTTCCAAAACAAGGCGATGCGCTAGTGCCCTTTGGTAAGGTATTAATCCTCATTACCAGGTCCCTCGGAGAGGACCAAAAGCAGTCGGCCGTCTGGTTGCTTACTTACAAGCATTATTACTTTCTAAACAGTCAGTTAATAACCACCACCACCGACCTTTTTTCGTCTTTCTTTTTGATCAGGGTTCCTAATAGGAGCTGAAGACCATTACACGCGCATGCTCTCTTGCGAGGCATACAATGCCGACGATGGCAGTACCAAGACCCTATCAGGACACGACCTACACGCGAACAAGACACCGGTCTTCGATTACGAAGGACAGTATTCCACCCATCTCTTCACGAATAAAACAATTGATGTCATAGAGAGGCATGACAAGACAAAGGTACGTTTACATGGACATAATCGGGACTTTTAGATTTACACGCCGAGAGGGTGGACTGCCGCGTGTGACATTGTGTTAAGGCACTGGGTCGTGCCCGGCAGTGCCTTAAAAAAAGACGTCACATTACCTTAAAAGGATGTCACACGTGGCGGTCCACGTTCTCGTCGTGCCAATCTAAAAGTCCCTAATAGTCCAGCCTCTGTACCGTTTCCGTGCCAAGCGCCCTCATTAACACACCCTCAACGTTGTAAGTAGACCTAGCCATTCCTCTCAATAGACCAGTTCACGGTTAGCACATTACTGCAATGACCCCGAATATCCACAGATCTTCAAAACGTGAAGAGGTCTCACTTTGTACATTTTGAAATATTCACTCCTACAGCGATAGAGGTGCTACATAAATAGCCTTTGTTTCCCCTTTTCAAAGAATACTTCCACCTGGGTATCATGGAGTGCATAAATGAATAATGATTACATAACTTTCATGAGCACGTTTCCAGTATTTCGTCTCCGTGTATTTCACAATTTGTTCTGCAATGACCTTTATCTGCTCATGCGCAGACTGCAACCGTGAACTGGCTTATTCTGTACATGGACGGAAATTGGGGGGGGGGGGTCGCGCGGTCAGTGAAGAGACCGCGCTGAGTGTGGGATCAAGGCGTGTGATTGAAGAATAAAAACAAAGAACGGACTGAATTTGGACTAGGACAGTATTTCAAGAACTCGTTTCCTAAAAACTATCTTTTTCCATATTTTTCTTCTTCAAAATTTAAGCTTACATCGTCGGCATCAGTAATTTTTTTTATTTACTGGTACTGAAATGGGCAGTTTTTCTGAATTTTCTTCATTCACCTAGCCCATAAATTAAGAGTGATTTTTTTTTAAAAGTTGGTTTTATACATGCTTTCTAACACAAACTTTTTGAAAGGTGTTTGGCACACTTTGTTTAAAAGTAAATCTTAAAGAGAAGGTTGAGTTCTGGGAAGAGATAAAAATAATTTGTGAGCGTTATCATTCTTATTGCAAGTGTGGAAGAACATCAGATAAGACATATTCCCTGAAAAGCATGGCTCTTCAAATGCCTTCATATTCTAAATATGTCATGTAACATCGTAACATACACCACGTGTTCGTGTAGTTCTATATACATCTTTCTGTGTACAGTGTTTGTAACTTTACCAAGACTTGGCCAAATTTCTTATCATTTTGGTGATTCCAGAACCTTGCAATACACACAAATTCTTATATGCTAGATGATCAACCTTTTCTGGTCGATTCCACACCGTTTCTTTCACAATGCAATCGCATGACCACAACTCAACTTCATCTTTAAAGGCACTCTTCCTGTATCTGACTTACTTTAGTAGGATAAGAAAATCTTTATGTCTTCGAGCTAAGCTAGTTTGCAGGGAAACATGTTTCTACAGATTATTTGAGCATTAATTTGATTCGTTCTTTTTCATTTTTTGTTTCGTTTAGTGTTTGTACCTTAAAGCCATTGTTCATGTACAGTAATTACTGTAGGTGGATTGAAAAGTCTCCCCATCTCAAAACTTAGGCACCTTTCAAGAAAAATATTTGTATGGATTATTTGAGCATTATTTTCATTTTTTTTTCTTTTGCATTTGTACCTTAAAGCCACTCTTCATATACCTGGCATATCAAGCCGTTCACGCACCTTTGCAAGTACCTGACAGCTACATGGACCAATACAAGAACATAGCCGACAAAACCAGACGTACCTATGCTGGTATGGTATCTTGTATGGATGAAGGTATAGGAAATGTGACACAAGCTCTCAAGGACGCTGGTCTTTACGATAATACCATCATAATATTCTCAACAGGTAAAGAAAAGCACGTTTCCATTTACTTTTTGACCCTATCCAGATACTTATTTCGTATTTTGTGATTTGGCTTAATATCGTTTTTTTTCTTCAGAGCCAAAAACTAAAAACTAAAAACGAAGGCATAAATAACTACCAGGGGGTGTTTCACAAAGATCCTAAGTTGAAATTATCTCTAGTTGGACTTAACAATCATCGACAGCCGTTAGCATCTATGAAAATATTTTGTAAAAGTTTTTTCAAAAGGCATTTAATGTTGATTCTAATCATTCATAGTTTCTATTATCAAGGAAATTTCATGTTCTTGATGTGAAAATTATAAAAAGTATAAAATAATTGAATTTCTGCTTCTGAATATATTTGATTTTAAGGCTACAAATGACTTTCCATAATTTAGAGTTAAGTTTGACCTAGGATCTTTGTGAAACACCTCCCTGATGAGTAGAAAGGGCATTTTTCATGCAAAGATGTACACTGTGTCTACCTATGCTGCGTGACCATAATTCCATTTCAAGAAGAAGAACAAAAGTAAAATATGCTTTAAAACTATTAAATTGGCAACAAAATTAGAAGTTCAAAATAATTGTTTCTCAAACAAAAATTGTTATTTGTTTAGTTTTTCCAGTAGGTTCGTAGCTATCTATTGCTTTAAGAGACAATAAACTTTATTACAGCAATTTAACAACAAAGAAAAAATAATGTTGAGAACATAAAAAGTGATTGGGTATTTGTTTTTAGTTCATCGTAACTGTGCCATGGACCAGTGATGGCCTGGTGGTAGAGTCGCTGCCCGGCTAGCTGTAGATGGAGGTTCAAGTCCCGCCGTTTCCAAGATTTTGTCTTACTTTTTAATAAAATTTGGAGTGGACTTTAAAAGATTATTATTATTATTATTATTATTATTATTATTATTATTATTATTATTATTATTATTATTATTATTATTATTATTATTACGTACCTAGTTATACATATCACCTATTTAATTTAGTTTTCCTGTTATGTTCTTGATCAGATAACGGTGGACATATTGATAGGGGTGGCAACAATTGGCCACTACGGGGAAGCAAAGGATCCATGTGGGAAGGAGGGATTCATGGAGTAGGGTTCGTACACAGCCCTCTTCTACCCGATGCAGTCAAAGGAACAGTCAATCATGAATTGATGCATGTGAGCGACTGGCTACCGACTATCGTAGCAGGTATTGCAGGTGGAGCGTTGAATGGAACCAAACCCTTAGACGGCTACAATGTCTGGAGCTCCATCAGGTACCCTAGCCATCAGGCACTCTTTTTTCCCTCTACTTTTTTGTGAATCTAGCGAATCATTTTACTTTAACTCATAGCAGTTACTGGATTTCGGATGGTCTATATGAATCTGTTATCATGTACCCTTTCGATAAAAGCTCCACCTTAAAAAATAAAACCTTATGTATTTTGTTCAATTCTTTTCTTCAATGACAAATGTTTCTTTGTGACTAAATTGATCAAATATTGTTCTTCTAACAATGATATTTTGTTGATGTTAAATTGTTTTAATGAAATACATTCTTTCTGCAAGCAAAGTACCTAGGTAAGATTTTGTGTTGAAAAGTTGAACAAATGGCCAACTCGGATCGAAAAACAATGCAGTTGTGAAACCTCTCAATCTGTTGATAATTCAAGGATTTTAAAGCTTATTTTGCCTTTAGAAATGCCTGCCGTCACACGCAGTTCGGTCATGTAACAAACATGAACTCAATACGCGAAGACATTTTTGCCGATTTCATTAGGCGACAGACAAGACTAGTGAAATTGCCCAAAGTTACGTCTTTCAAACTATTTCCAAATGCGTCTTTTAATTCTTCTTCTCATTATACTTTTGTTACTATTTGTTTTATTTTCATCGTCATCATTTTTAATGAATGCATTCACGGTCTCTTTAAGAAAAGGGTGCTAATCACCGTGACCTTTGGCCGTTGACCTTGTTGTTAGATTCACCACATTAGTATTTCTCAAAAGGAGGTAAGGTTCGTTAGTCCGACAAATCAAATCGGGTTCATAAGTCCGAAAATGCGAATATCCCTGATTTAATTTTCGGAACAACAAACTCCTTTTTTATGTTAGGAATGATAAACCCCATTTCATTTATTTTCGGAATTACGAATCTTTGAATAGCGCGATTGCCTCCTTTTTGTACCAGTGTCCTTTGAACAGCTTAGTTTATTTCCCTACAACAGGCCGAGGAAATGGCTGCATTATGCTTACATACAAAATGTATGATTTCTTTTAAAAAATTAAGGGGGGGGGGCAAATGGTTAAAAACAAGAGAATTCTTATATGTTAATAAAACCTGTTACCTTTGCATTTGTAATTTGTCAGTGGTACAGCTTCGTCCCCTCGAACGGAACTCTTGCACAATATCGACCCGAAAAAGAAGCGACCTGAGAACGAGAAATTCGATACATCAATGAGAGCTGCGCTACGCGTTGGAGACTGGAAAATAAAGACGGGCGCAGACTATGACGGTGAGTCAAAATTACCTTTAGTTATTCGCTAATTTTCATAATATCAAAGGTAAACTTGAGCTCTCGTCAGACTGCGCCTACGACTACTACTAGGAGCAGTACTACGTCTACTACGTATACTACTACTACTACTACTACTACTACTACTAATTCTACTACTACTTCTAACACCACTACTTCTACTACTTCTACTATGGAACCACTATTACTACTACAACACCTACTTATACTGCTTTACATTTACTATTACAATATTGTGCTACTATTTATACCACTACTACTACTACCACTACTAATACTACTTATGCTACTGGTACTACTACTAGTTTTGTAAATATTATCATCATCACCATTACTTTTGTATTATTATTTGTATCTGTACCTTTTTCAGAATTTTCATTATTATTTATATCATTGTTTTTATAATTGTTGTCGTCGTTGTCGACATTAAAAGCATTCTTTCTCTATCCAAACCTCTCTTTGTGACAATAGTAACCGTATTCAACGAGTGGATGCCGCCACCCGAATCCGGACTCGACACGATATATCCGACAGAGAAACCGAACCAAAAGGTCTGGCTCTTCAACATAACCGCCGATCCTCTGGAGCAAACCGATCTTGCAGAAAAGTACCCGGATGTGGTCGATGAGCTTGTACAGAAATTAGAGGAGTATTACAAAGGTTCGGTTCCAATGCGGTATCCGGATGAGGATTTGGAAGCGGATCCGGCTTTGCATGGCGGTTCATGGGGGCCATGGAAGTAAATCCATAGCAAATTTAGGCTGAAACTGCTTCGATCGATACTAATAGTAGTGGTTCTTCTAGGACCCCCTCCCATGACATATATATATAAATATATATTATATACATAACATTCTTGAAAACTGTTTGAAAACTGCAGTGCATGAAAATGCCAGATCCAAAGGGCAAAGAGCACACGTTCCTCCCCCCCCCCCCACACACACACACACTCCATCAAACAATTGGGAAATATGGGAAGCAGACAATGAGAAGAAGAAGAAAAAGGGATGGAGAAAGGGAATGATAAAATGGGAAAGTAAACAGGAAGAAGACACATATGAAGCATGTGCTTATTTAATTTGTTAGAATTTCGTAGCACAACGGCACACCAAACTCCGCATGACTTTTTTGTTTGTTCGTCATAGAATTTTCGAAATTTCCCTCCACCCCGAGCCAAAAAATCCTGGGTCAACTAATGCATCTTGTGGTAACTGTCCCATATTTATACACAACGACTTACAGGACTGAGAACAAGTAATATTACAACAAGTATTATCTCTGTCTACCATCAATAACAAAGTTTTGATGTTATTAACAGCGCCAAATTAATCTAATTGATCTAGACATCACAGAGGAGTCTGTTAAAAAGAAGAGGTAAAATAGAATTTTATTTGTAACTATTATTTCATTTTCAAAATTATTGTAAGGTTTGATTAGAACATACTATGAGTACCTTCTACACTCAGTTTAAACTAGAAATAAGAGGGGAAATTTAATTATTGGAGATATCTAAGTATTGCTAGCTTGTGTCCTGTTCAGACAAAGTTTCTTGAGTTCATTTATGTTTCACCAGAGAATTTAAATCATGAGAAACTTGTTCTTTCTTTCTAATGACAGAATTATTTGAATCTACGACAGGTTTATATGAACATATGCAATGACTGTGCCTCATACTGATATGAAATTTACAATACTCTTGTATTTGGTAGAACGTGTGTTCCCTGATTATTATTTTTTAATCTGAAGTTGTTCCAATTCACAAGAAATAAGATGAATGGAGGTTTTGCCTTACAAACTATAAGACAGTTATATCCATAATACAAATCAACACATAATTATTTGTAGAAAAAAAATTGGTGTAAAGTATATTAATGTCTTACGTAGCAAAAAAAAATAACCTATGATTTCTACATTTCTTTTTTAGACACGGTGATTGGACAAATATGGCTCCTCTTGAATTTAATATTATGTAATAACGTGTTTATTTCAGACCCCTCTCAAAATAATAGTCAAATTCATAATTATAATACCCGATTTTCCAACAATTTCCATTTATGGTCTGTTAAGTCTAGTTATAAAGCTAAATCAATACGTTATCTAGGTCCTAAACAGTAAATATGATTCCCCAAGTAATAACGAAATCCCAATACATATCTTCCTTTAGAACAGTGGCGGATCCAGGGGGGGGCCCCGGGGGCCCGGGCCCCCCCCCCCCCCTTGAGAAAAAAATCATGTAAAATCACGTGATTTTTACGATTTATGGGGGTTGGGCCCCCCCCCTGGCGCTCAAGGGGGGGGTGCAAATTGAAATTTTTTTGAGGATCAAAAAAAAAAAAAAAATGTGCTCACTATCCCCCCCCCCCCCCCCCCCCCCCCCCCCCCCCCCCCCCCCCCCCCCCCCCCACTGAGCGAATCTTTGGCCGGCGCGTTTTTCAAATTTTCGGGAGCAAAAAAAAAAAAAAAAAAAAAAAAAAAAAATTGTGCTCTGTACCCCCCCCTTTGAGCGACTTTTCGGCCGGCGCGATTTTCAAATTTTCGGGAGCAAAAAAAAAAAAAGTTGGGCCCCCTCCCCTAAGAAATCCTGGATCCGCGCCTGCTTTAGAAAACAATATAATATCTTATTACTAAATAGTTATTAATCATCAGTTATTCATATATTCTATATATCTGAACCCCCTTTCATTGTTTTCCTTTGCCCCCTTTATATATATATATATATATTTGTTTTTTACTTCACTTTCTCTCGTATTATAGATAGTTGAAGTGTTTGTACTTTGCTTATTTTACTTAATGTATTGTTGTGTGTATTTCTGTTATGGATGATCTAACTTTACAGGTTTTTGCAACCTTCGCCGAAAGCCCAGCATATAACCTCTGTAAATGTAGTTAACATTTACTGTTACCTTGTATACTTTGATTTTTTTTTTATTGCGAAACAAAATTAATTGAATTGAATTGAATTGAATTGAAAGAACTTTGTTTCTTCTTGGATATTATATAAAGCGTTCAATAGTATTAACCATAAAAAAAACTATCTACGATATTTATCGTAATGGTATCCATGAGACAACACTAAAATGGCATGAAAATTATATCAGTGACAGCAATCCATTTGTATTTTGTACGCAATTATAAATGAAAGATGTGTGATATTAATATAGGAGTTTTCGAAGGACCGGTAGTGAGACTGCTGTATTTCCTTCTTTTCATTAATGACCTGAATAATAAGCCAAATACTTATTTCTGTTATATTTGCAGATTGTGAAATCTTGTTCATCTTCAAAAAATATTTCACTTAGATTAATCATGTATTAAAATGTTGAATTAAATTCTAATTTTAAATCCTCTTGAAACAAAAATATGTGTTTTGTGAATTTCTCCCACAAAAAAACAGATTAAATGAAGAAAGGATGAAAACATGCATCAATATACATGACATTCAACCAGTCAAAAATACAACATTTGTTAATTCCTTCATTATTTTTTTTTCTTTTCAAAATGTTATATTTTTTGTTATTGAATATAAAACTTAACGACATATCATATTTACAATAATAACTTATCAATAAAGTAAATTGATGTAAACACAACACGGTACAACATAACACAAAACAGCACAACACAAATGCCTCACTCTAGTCAGTTACATGTAAGGCTCACCCTGACACGCATCAAGGTTATGTATCATGAAAGAAAACCGAGACTGGACCCGTCAAGGAAAGGCTCCGCTGAAATACATTTACATTAACAATAAAATAACATAATTGACAATAAGGAAGTAGAAAGTTTATTAACTGCTAGGGGAACAAAATTCTACACGAAATAAAGTGACCATTTACTAAAATGGGAGCTTAGTTTAGCTTTCTTCTCTGCTATTCGTATTCAATTTTTCTGTTTCATTTTTACAAAAGAAAGGAAAGCCTGGAAATGTAATTCTGCCTCTTGAAATTTACATCGAATCATATAAAATTTGAGGCACAGGAATAACAAAATAATAATATATACATCATGCCTGCCACCTATATCAATACCAAATATATGAGTGAACTCAAAGTACAGTGTTGTCTCCTTCGTCATATTATCAATATAATCTGCAAGCTTTCTCCATATTGGAGCAAGTAATGTTCATTTACAAAATATATGAGTCGAGGTTTCAGGAAGCTTCTGGCAGAAGTAACACAAAGGACTATTCCTTCTTCTAATTTTATATAAAAATGAGTTTAGGGCTAAAACAACAATACCTAAACTCATATCCTGCCATAAGCTTGCATCCACCTTACCATTATAGTGCTTTGTACACGCGAACAACCTACTTTGCTGCTTCTTGTATGTTTGCAAGCATTCGTAATAGCAGTTATTGTTCATGCCCATTGTACGGTGTCTAGTGTTTCGCACGCTCTATTTATAGTACCATCGCGTTAATCCGATAATCTCAAAATAAACTTGGCACTAGGGGGATTTGTGGCTGGGCACAATGGGGATTAGCCCCGTGGCAGGATAAGAGTTAACTGTGTATAACTGTATAACTGTGTATAACAGACCATTCAATTTCATCTCAATTTCATCTCTGTCCAAACCAAGCCACTCTTCCTACTTATTACCAATCTTGGCCTGTAATGATTTATCTTTGTTACGTAGTATCGAATAAGCATAGCTAGGTACTTAACGAAATTATTTTGAAACAGAAAAACATATCACTTAAAAATGCACAATTTTTTCTTTCATATGACACTTCAGAAAATGAATGATATATTGAAACCAAATCAATTCAAATAGTTTTAATTTAATAACTGAATCAAGTCATGAAAAAATGCTCACATAAATTTAATATCAAATGGAATTTTCCAATAAACAAAGAAAATTAAACCTATTTTTAATTTTACGATATTAAATGTCGATAAGAAATCAAAGCATTTTAGGAATACAAATATATAAGCATAATATTATACATAAAGTCGAATTTTAAAGGAAATTGAGAAATCCAATAAAAAGTAAAGCTTGTATATGTATTACTCACAATTGAAAGAAAAAGAAAGGAAGAAATGGAAGAAATATAAAGAAAATAAACATGAATACATGCACTACCTATAATATAATATATAAATTTAGTAGTTGTGTATGATAAGTGGAAAATTGAACACGATGACGTCATATGAGACAACGAACATCAAGCTTAGGACAAGGACACGTATACGCTTACAAACAAAATATTGGTTGCACAACTTTCCATTGATTCAATTTAATAATGTTTAAATTATAGATAACAAATGATAGTTGAGAAAAGGGGCTTTTCATACTTGTATATCTTATTAAGTAAATAATTCATTATAATAGAATATATACGCATGATTTTGTTTTGGTGGGACACGCTTTATATTACTATTCCGTTATTCTGAACTGAGTTTGTTCTTTGTTAATTGATATGTATTTCATGTTTTTTTCATATGTTGAAGGGCATCCTTGGAAAGCCGGCTATCATTTTTTAAATCTATTTTTGGTCCTTAATGGAAATACCCTACTAAAATAAAAATCAACAAATGACTAAAAAAAACAATTCTTTATGCAATTATGATTGTAATAATAATGCTTTTTAAGCTTGAGTTGTGTCATTGATATGCCTTGTCAAACAGGGGAGTTCCACTCTTTCGCATTTAAAGGTAAAATCCACTATCACGGACAATTTATAATCAATGAAACACACAATGGCAACGTTGTGACGTATCTCTAAAAGTTCTTTACCATTTGCTGTGTAGGCTACGTACAAGTTCATGAATGCTAAATTCCTTATTTATTAGTGAAAGAATCAAATTTGTCTTACAGGGGTCATGTAAAACGTGACAATCATGCCAATGATTTTTATCTAGAGTTCGTGTATAAATAGAATTCCATAAGACAATAATACAATTCATGTTTTGTTCTAAGAAGAGAGCAAACGAGAATATGCCTCGCGATATACGTTACAGAGTTACCATTTTATATGTGATCGATTGCAACGCTAAGAATATACAACCTTTCTTGTTTGTAATCGGATTTTCTCATAATGTCACAGATCTGTTTCAATAAATTTTTATGTACAACTTAATACCAGGGTAGAATTTCCCTTCAAGTGCGTAAATGTTAAATATACCACAGACCGGTTCGCTTAAATCGTTTAATTTTAGGATCATGCCCGTGTAAAAAATCATTATGCACCACAACAGTTTGAACATCCCGATGTCTTCCCCGCCATTTGTCATTGAAATACTGCCAGCCATTCGGGAACCTTCGGTAATCCATGACGTTAATCTTCAGCTTGTCCCGAACGTTCTTCCTCTCTAGAAGTGCATTAAGGAGATCCTGGTCGGGTGTCTTCGGGTATTGGGTAAGCATATCGTCCCATTTCCGGATAACTTCGAGTGTGGCGTTGGTGGCGCTAAAGTATACGAACCCCATGTTGATTTCTAACCAATCAGGAGCGATGATGTAAACGTATTCTTTGTGCATATCTTCCACGACGTGTAAATCATAACCCTCTGGACAATACAGGAGTGGGTTCTCCAACCAGACTGTATCCAAATCCGAAAATAAAACATCGATGCCTTGTTCGAGAAAGGACCGAATATACCTCGGCCTTCGGTTAATCATCTTGATGTATTCGTCCGTTCCGAACTCGAGGAACTTTGTTGAGGTTTTCGTCTCGGGAGGGCGCTGTACCGATATCTCGATGTCTGTTCGTTTGTTGAGGT